ATACTTCAAGATATTTTCTATTAAATGTAAGTTGTAGAACATCTTAGCATAGATTTCTAGTTTTGGTTCACTAGTCCTTTTATGTCTGTAGGACTGGTAGTGGTGCTTCTTTCCAACTTGGTTTGGTAATTGTTGTGCTCTCTCTCTCACTCTCTTACTTTACATCCTGCAGATGTTCATATGTTATAATTTCATTGACTTTTTTTGTTAATGTTCTATCAGTTTAATGTTATGTGATTCTATAACTCATGAATATTTGTTTTTGTTTTTGTTTTTGCGGTGGAGTCTTTCTTGCCTAGGCTAGAGTGCAGTGGCATGATCTCAGCTCACTGCAACTTCCACTTCCCGGGTTCAAGTGAATCTCCTGTCTCAGCCTCCCGAGTCATTGAAAATACAGGTGTGTGCCACCATACTCAAATAATTTTTGCATTTTCAGTAGAGACAGAGTTTCACCATGTTGGCCAGGCTGGTGTCAAAGTCCTGACCTCAAATGATCCACCTGCCTCAGCCTCCCAAAGTGCTGGGATTATAGGCATGAGCCACCACACCCAGCCAAAACCCATCAATATTTAGAATGCTATTTGTTTCCAAAGTATTGCTTTTTCTCCAAATGTCTTCTTATTGTTGGCTGCGAATTTAATGGAACTTCTAATCAGGAAACGTTACCTGTAGTAACAGTTTGGATGCTTACTTCGTTGTCTAAAAATGATAGATATGGCCGGGCACAGTGGCTCACACCTGTAATCCCACCACTTTGGGAAGCTAAGGTGGGCGGATCATGAAGTCGGGAGATCGAGACCATCCGGGCCAACATGGTGAAACCCTGTCTCTACTAAAAATACAAAAAAATTATCTGGATGTGGTGGCATGCGCCTGTAATCCTAGCTACTCAGGAGGCTGAGGCAGGAGAATCGCTTGAACCCAGAAGGCAGAGATTGCAGTGAGCCGAGATCGCGCCACTGTGCTCCAGCCTGGCGACAGAGCAAGACTTCGTTTCAAAAAAAACAAAAAGATAGATACTTTTGATCAATATGTTTTCATAAGTAAGTATTCCTGGCCTCACACGGTGGCTCACACCAGTAATCCCAACACTTTGGAAGGCCAAGGTGGCCAGATCCCGTGATCCCAGGAGTTTGAGACCAGCCTGGGCAACATAGCGAAACCACGTCTCTACAAAAAATACATATTAAAAAAATTTAGCTGGGCAAGGTGGCATGATCCTGTAGTCCCAGCTACTCAGGAGATGGTTGTGGGAGATCCACCTAGGCCTGGGGAGGTCGAGGCTGCAGTGAGCTGGGATAGTGCCATTGTATTTCAGATGGAGCAACAGAGAGAGACCTTGTTTCAAAAAGAAATATATAAAGAAATACACTTTCCCACTTTGTTGTTATATGTATATTCCAGAAATGTTTCTATACAAACTTACATAATACATAAACAATCGAAACATCATATATAAGCATCAGATTGAACATTCATGCCATTCAACTTTCACAAATATTTTGTTCACTTAATCTATCAAAGTCTGATCAATATTTCTTCAAATCCTCCATTGTGTCTCAATTGATGCTTTGTAAATTGTAAATTTTAAGGACATGTGGTTGGCTGAGTGAAAGTGTATAACTTTCTCTTCTTCACAGACTGTTGATTTAAAAGTATGAAATATCAACTATTTTTCTTTTCAGAGGCTGTTTGTGTTAGTATTGGTTTGCTATTGCTGCCATAACAAATTACTACATATTGAGCAGCAGCAACACAAACTCATTATCTCACAGTTCTGAATATCAGAATTCTGAACAGGTCTTTTAGGACAAAATCAAGGCCATGACGTGGCTGCATTCCTTTCTGGAGGCTCCAGAGACGCGAATCCATTTCCTTGCTCTTTCAGATTCTTAGTAGAAATGTATATACTTGTATATACACAGATTACAGATAGATCTATGCTTACTAGTTTTTTGAATGTACTGTTGATTTATTTTATTCACAGTAGCATCTCATCTTCTCCATTTGGGATTCATTATTCCACTCCCTGATTTACATCATTAGTATGGCTTTCAGAAAGAGCCCAGATGCAAACATATCTGCAGCCTTGCAGCTCCAGCGATGCCTGGCTCTGTTTCTCAATCTCTCTCTCTCTCTCTCTCTGTCTCCCTCTCCCTCTCTCTGTCTCAATATCTCTCTCTCTTTCTCTGTCTCTCCATCTCTCTCTGTCTGTCTCAATCTCTCTCTTTCTCTGTTATTATCGTGGTATCTGATAAAAGGACACTGAAAACTCCCTTCTTATTCCTCATAAGACCACCGCCTGACCTGACGATTCACAAATGTCCCGAATCTCCTTGTGTTTTAGGATTTATCCACAGCTGACTCTGAAACTTAGTCCTTTAATAATAACGAGGCCAGGTTGCAGTGAGCCAAGATCGCACCATTGCACTCCAGGCTGGACAACAAGAGTGAAATTCCATCTCAAAAACTAATAATAATAATAATAATAATAAATAATACTTATAATAGTAATAACTAGGCCCAGCACAGAACTCTGTCCTCACAATTAAGCCCTTGTGGTTGTTTCTCCTGTCTCTTCTGGGGCTGCTGTTTGCTTTTTCGAACTCCAGTCCCGATGAGCTTGTCATTCATTCAAGGGTCATTTACATTTTCTCTGGTAGTTTTAGGATTATTTTAAATTGATGCCTCATGTTTTTCACTTTACCATGATGGAGATATTAAATTTAGTTATCAACTGATGTTTTCTCTTCAGTTCTATAAAAATTTCAACCATTAGCTCTTCATGCATATCGTGAACTAACATCCCTCTTCCTTCTTTCATTCTGAAACCGTGACAGACACGTTCTTTCTTCTCATTCAACTTCCTGTATATATTAATCTTTTCTATTGTTCAATTTCTGTTCTTTCCATGATACAGTATGGAAAATTTAATGAACATTTTATCCTAATGTATATATTTACTATTTCAGCTGTCTTGTCCTGGATTAAATTATGTTTTTGATTTTGTTATGTTTCCATAGTAGATATATACGGCTAGTAAATTACTTTGGTTTTTGTTTTTTTTTTTTTGAGACACAGTTTCACTTTTTTTTTTTTTTGAGACATAGTTTCGCTTTTTTTCTTTTTGAGACGAGTCTCGGAGTCTTGCTCTGTCGCCCAGGCTAGAGTGCAGTGGTGCAATCTCGGTTCACTGTAAGCTCTGCCTCCCGGGTTCACACCATTCTCCTGCCTCAGTCTCCCGAGTAGCTGGTACTACAGGCACCGCCACGACGCCCGGCTAATTTTTGTATTTTTAGTAGAGACGGGGTTTCACTGTGTTAGCCAGGATGGTCTCTATCTCCTGACCTTGTGATCCACCCGCCTCAGCCTCCCAAAGTGCTGGGATTACAGGTGTGAGGCACCGTGCCCGGCCGACAGTTTCACTCTTGTCCCAGCTGAAGTGCTTTGGCGTGATCTCAGCACACTGCAGCCTCCACCTCCCAGGTTCAAGAGATTGAACCTACCTCAGCCTCCTGAATAGCTGGGATTACAGGCACTCACCACCACACCTACATAATTTTTTGTATTTTTATTAGAGTTGGGGTTTCACCATGTTAACCAGGCTGGTCTCGAACTCCTAGCCTCGAGTGATCTGCCCGCATCTGCCTCCCAAAGTGCTGGGATTACAGGCATGAGCTACCACGCCCAGACATAAATTCCTTTTTAATGGTGTTAATTTAATATAGTTTTTCAGCTTCACAATATCTACTTAATGCATTTCGACAACTTTCCTCATATGGTTGTCATTCCTGTGGGGCAGATCTCCTCCCACGCACCTGGCCTTTCATAAAGGGTCCTCCCATGGCTGTCCAGGCATCAGCCTGATGAAGGGGATCGTTGCCACTGCTCCTGCCCCACTCTCCCAAACTTAGCGTCAGCTCAAGATTGTGCCCAGCAGGGATGGGACCAACACCAGCCTCACACTCACCTGTGGGGCAGACGCCCACATCTGAGCACCGTGGACTGAATCTGTTTCTCACACACAGGGGAGGGGCTGAGAGCTGAGCGTGGACTCCAGTGAGTGAGCGGAGACCCCCCAGCGCCTGTCCACACACACAGGGGAGGGGGAGCCACAGCTTCCAGCCCCACCCAGAGCCCTGACCCCTCCCTGCCTGGGAGGACCCGGGGTTCCTCTTCTGTCCCACACGGAGGTGGGAACCTCCTCCTCCCTAGTGACCCTGGGTGGTCTCGGACACCTGTGGCCACTCAGCTTTGAACTCTGTTCATTGCAGGGGACGCGTCTCAATGTTGGGAACTTTTCTTTCTCTTTCTGGGTCTGTGGCTATGGTGATCTGCATATTTCAGACATATCACTAGGAGCATTTCTTGGTATTTGGAGCCGATGTCGGCTCTTGAGTGGGGGTGTCAATCATCCTCCTCGACTGTGGAACCCAACACCGGGATCCTCTCCCGTCCCACCCTCCGGTCTGAACTGGTCTGGAAATTCACCACGGCTGAGCCTCCCGTGTCCTGGGCACCACTGACCCCACAGCCACTGTGATGAGTGGGGTTCATGACAACAGGCTCAGAAGTGACATTAATGTCCAAGGTCACATAAACCGTGGATGATAATCAGGAATTAAAAAAAAATAAAATAAGATAACAATGTTCTAAAATCTATTACAAAACAATAGAAATTAATAATCAGCTCCCCTTCCCCAGAATCAGATTTTAGAATACAATGAAACATACACATATAATTTCTTTTATATCCCCTTTTATAATTTCTTTTTTATACCTATATATAATTTCTCTTTTATCCCTATTTCTCCTTTTCAGACAGGATCTTGCTCTGTCGCCCAGGCTGGAATGCCGAGGGGTGATCACAGCTCCCTGCAGCCTCTGCCTCCTGAGCCCAAGTGATCCTCCCACCTCAGCCTCCCGAGTAGCAGGGACCACAGGCATGAGCCTCCATGCCCAGCTCACTTTTTTCTTTTCTGTAGAGACAGGATCACAGTATGTTGTCCAGGACTGTCTGAAGTTCCTGGCCTCAAGCCATCACCCGCCTCAGCCTCCTGAAGTGGTGGGATTCCAGGCGTGACCCACCACGGTAGACCCTGCATTTCTCCTGTGTGCTCACTGCCACACGCAGCTCAGCCTGGGCTGCACAGCCCGGTGTCAGGTGCGTCTCTGCGGACCTGGGTCTGCCTGCAGCGTGGACCTGCATCTTCCCTGAAGCATCTCCAGGGCTGGAGAGACGACTGCCATGGTAAGGACCCCGCGACGCTGAGCCGATGGACGGGCTGGAGGAGGGAGGGAGACCCCATGGGGAGGCTCTGAGAGGGAAGAGGAGCCCACGGTCGCCCTCGCCTGAAAGGGGCTGACTGGGGAAGTCACCGGGTCTATTTGCTGCTGTGTCCCGGCCCTCAGTGAGATAAAGATAAATCAGGCAGACAGTGGCCCAGGGACAGGGAGACCCCATTTCTGTCTGAAATGTCTGCAGAGAGCTTGATGCCCGCCCCCACCTCAGCCCTGGGGAAATGAGAGCCAGGCTCCGGGGGAGGGCGGTTCCCCTTCCTGTGGGCTGAGGATGAGACAATCCCATGACAAGAAGGACCCAGCCTCCGAGCGGCCACACCCTGTGTGTGTCTCTGTCCTGCCAGCACCGAGGGTTCATCCATCTGCAGAGCCCGGGCCACTGGGAGGAGACGCCATGACCCCCGCCCTCACAGCCCTGCTCTGCCTCGGTGAGATTTCAAGATGGGGAGGGGGAGATCCGAGTTTTGGAGGGACCCCACCCCACACACAAGCCCTGGTCCATCAGGAGACCTCAAAAGCTCGGGAGGCACCAGGGTGAGGAGGGTCTGCTCAGGCTTCAGGGGCAAATCCCTCACAGGGAACTCTCTTCCAGGGCTGAGTCTGGACACCAGGACCCACGTGCAGGCAGGTGAGTCTGTCCCCAGCTGTCCCAGGTCCCTCCTCCTCACTAGGGACAGGGGCCACACATGGGCAGCTGGGGGAGGAGACCGCAGTTCTGGGTGACTGATGGCGATGACGGGGGGTCCTGGGGCTGGGAGCTGGGATCTGAGTGTGGGAACGTCTTGGGATCCAGCTTCTGATTTCCTTCCAGGGTCCCTCCCCAAACCCACCCTCTGGGCTGAGCCTGGCTCTGTGATCATCTGGGGGAGCCCCGTGACCATTTGGTGTCGGGGGACCCTGGAGGCCCAGGAGTACCGTCTGGATAAAGAGGGAAGCACAGAGCCCTGGGACACACAGAAACCACTGGAGCCCAAGAACAAGGCCAGATTCTCCATCCCATCCATGACAGAGCACCATGCAGGGAGATTTCGCTGTTACTATCTCAGCCCTGCAGGCTGGTCAGAGCGCAGTGACCCCCTGGAGCTGGTGGTGACAGGTGAGAGGACACTCAGGGGTCCCAGCCCCAGGCCCTGCCCTCAGGAAGGGGGTCGGCTCTCAGGGGCGTCTCCCTCTCACAGTCCAGCCCTGGGGATGATGTGGGAGGTGGGAGCCCATTTAACACGGTGCCTCCTCTCCTAGGATTCTACAACAAACCCACCCTCTCAGTCCTGCCCATCCCTGTGGTGGCCTCAGGAGGGAACGTGACCCTCCAATGTGGCTCACCGAAGGGATATCACCATTTTGTTCTGATTGAGGAAGGAGAACACAGGCTCCCCCGGACCCTGGACTCACAGCAGCTCCACAGTGGGCAGTTCCAGGCCCTGTTCCCTGTGGGCCCCGTGACCCCCAGCCACAGGTGGACGTTCAGATGCTATTACTATTATAGGAACACCCCCCAGGTGTGGTCCCACCCCAGTGACCCCCTGGAGATTCTGGCCTCAGGTGAGGGACCACGGCCTTCTCTAATCCACTTTCGGGGCAGCTGACAGGCTGTGGGGAGTCTGGCTGGTGACTGACTCTGGAAAGGACCCAGAGTGATGTGTGGACGGACGGGCTGCAGGCGTGAGGGAGACCCCATGGGGAGGCTCTGGCATGGGAGGAGGAGGCCTCGGCCACCCTCACCTGGAAGGGGAGGACTCAGGAAGGCACCAGTGTGTTTGCTGTGAGGTCCCGGCTCTCAGGGAGAGGAGGAAGGATCAGGCACAGGGGCCAGGGCTAGGGAGACCCCACTCCTCGGAAATGACTCCAAGGCAGCCCCGGGTGAGAAGGAGGCCCGGGGGTCAGAGACTCAGAGTGTGAGAGACAGTGAGACCTGCAGGGCCAGGACGGGAGAAGGAAGGGGCGTGGGAGGAACCAGCCCTCTGAGTCCCGGCTCCTCTTTCCTCCAGGCGTGTCTAGGAAGCCCTCCCTCCTGACCCTGCAGAGCCCTGTCGTGGCCCCTGGAGAGACCCTGACCCTGCAGTGTGGCTCTAACGTCGGCTACGACAGATTCGCTCTGTACAAGGAGGGGGAACGTGACTTCCTCCAGCGCCCTGGTCAGCAGCTCCAGGCTGGGCTCTCCCAGGCCAACTTCACCCTGGGCCCTGTGAGGGGCTCCCACGGGGGCCAGTACAGATGCTACGGTGCACACAACCTCTCCTCCGAGTGGTCAGCCCCCAGTGACCCCCTGGACATCCTGATCTCAAGTGAGGAGCCCAGCGGGTTCAGTCAGGGACCCAGGCTCTGCACAGGCCCTGCTGGGGGAGCCAAGGTGGTGATGGCTGGGATGAGGGGCGGGGGTCCCAAGGGAGGAAGAGACAGAGACAGGGGATGGGTGGGGAGGGGGAGACTCAGAGAAAACAAAGACAGAGAAACTAAGTGTCCTAGGGAGAGGCCTGGGGAGGTGTCAGCTCAGAACAAGGTGGGGCAGCCCCTCACCCATCCTTCTTCTCTCCAGGACAGTTCTATGACACGGTCTCCCTCTCGGTGCAGCCGGGCCCCACGGTGGCCTCAGGAGAGAACGTGACCCTGCTGTGTCAGTCATGGGGACAGTTCCACACTTTTCTTCTGACCAAGGAGGGGGCAGCCCATCCCCCGCTGCGTCTGAGATCAAAGTACCGAGCTCATAAGTACCAGGCTGAATTCCCCATGGGTCCTGTGACGTCAGCCCATGGGGGGACCTACAGGTGCTACGGCTCACACAGCTACAGTCCCCACCTGCTGTCTCTCCCCAGTGACCCCCTGGAGCTCGTGGTCTCAGGTGAGGGCCCTGACCCTGTCCTCTCTGAGCTCAAAGGCTCAGTTCCGGCCCAGCCTCCAGGAGAGTTCTCGGCTGGGATGGAGTGAGGGAGGCTGTGAGGGAGGCTTAGCCAGAGGGGACGCAGCCCTCAGAGGGGAGAGGCCAACAGAGCTTCTCCTAGGCATGGCCACCCGTTCTCCTTCCCTGGCATGCAGAAGGTACGGTGGGCAGAGGAATGGTTCCCGGGGATCCACTGGGCGGATGAGGAGAGTGGGAGTGGAAGGCTGCACTCCATGGACGGCCCCAGTCCCTCACCTGCCTCCTGTGCTCCTTGCAGGACCCTCAGGGGGCTTCAGCCCCCCACCCACAGGGCCGCGCTCCACACCTGGTGAGTCACTGAGCCCTCTTGGGGAGCGCGGCCTCCCCCAGGGCAGTCTGAGTCTCCCGAAGGATCCTATTACCCTCCCCTCTAGGACAGGGTTGTGTCCCAGGGACTCTGAGGCTGGGCTGGTGAGGAGTAGGGGGTTCGAGGCAGAGGGAGGTGTTGGGGCCCAGCCTGGGGGAGGAGCCAGGCTGATATAGGGGAGCAGGGCAGCCCCAGCTCTCACCTCTCTGTCCTGACCCAGGAGGCCTTGAAGACCAGCCCCTCAACCCCTCAGGGTCAGGCCCCCAGAGTGGTGAGTGGGGGCTCTGAGAGGAGGGTGGGCGGGGTGCAGGGGAGGCAGACGTGGCTTCTGTCCTAGGTTCAGGCCCCTCTGGAGATGCTGACGTGGACAGGCCCCTCCCCTGCCTGGGCCTCAGTTTCTCCAAGTATAAAGGAGAGAGGCCTGTGGGTGGGAAAGTTCCTTTCAGCTCTGACCTCCTGGGAGAGGAGAATTCCCAGGGAAGCCTCCCAGGACCCGATTCCGCAGGGGCTTGTCCTGTCCCTCCTGCAGCAGTGACGGTGACCTGGGGCAGGGGAGGGGAGCAGGGCTGTGGTTCAGGACAGTCAGGCTCTTTCCCTGCAGCTCCAGGGCTCAGCTCCGGTGCAGGGAACAAGGGCTGCGGGTCAGACTCCTGGGTTCCCTTCCCAGCTCTGCCGCTTCCTGGCTGGGGGTCCTGGGGCAGGCGATTCCCCTCTCTGAGCCTCAGTTTGTGCATCTGTGAAATGGGTTGTAGGGGCGGCAATTCCATGTTGCACAACTGCTTGTAAGGGTTGTAGGTCTTGAAGGAAAGACCTGGCACGCACCTGCACACAGTAGGTGCTCACATCAGTGACGTCATTCCCACTCCTGTTATCATGCTCAAGGTCTGGGAAGATACCTGGAGGCTTTGATTGGGGTCTTGGTGGCCTTCGTCCTGCTGCTTTTCCTCCTCCTCTTCCTCGTCCTCCGACGTCAGCGTCAGAGCAAACACAAGATATCAGGTGAGTAGGGAAGTGTGGGACCCCATGGGCTGACGGAGGGTACACCAGCCAGAGGGAACCCAAACTCACCGGGGTGTCAGTTTAGAAAACCGGTTCCAGGGAAACGTAATGTCAGCACACATTTACAAACTTCAGTATTCATGGAGTTTTTTCTATCTCATAAAATATTTGAAACATCTATGCAGGAATATTTTTAGTTTTCCTTCTTCCCCTCAAGTTGCATGTGTAGAATGGGGGTTCTAATGTTTCCAGGGCTCAGACTCTGTCCATCTTCACCCAGACCAGAGAAAGACTGATTTCCAGCGTCCTGCAGGGGCTGCGGAGCCAGAGCCCAAGGACAGGGGCCTGCTGAGGAGGTAATTCTGCCTGAAGACCCCAGACTCCCACCCACCACAGCCCATATACTGCCCCTCACACTCCTGTGTCCTCCCCCAGGTCCAGCGCAGCTGCTGACGTCCAGGAAGAAAACCTCTGTAAGAAAAAGAGAAGGGACAAATGGGGGTGCTGGGGAGACCCAAAATTTCAGTAGCAACAGGGAGGGGCTGGGAAGGGTCTGGGGCTCCGTGGAAGATGGTCTCGCCCCCCACTGTGGGGCCTCCCTGGATCTCAGTGGCCCTAGTGGGAGCTGGGCAGGGGCCAGCAGGACTGAGAGGTCTCAGGGATCCTTCCCAGGAGACGAAGTCCTTGCTGTTTCCCTGCAGATGCTGCCATGAAGGACACACAGCCTGAGGACGGGGTGGAGCTGGACAGTCAGGTGAGACCCTGCCCCTGTCCCGGGCACCAAAGGCCTCCTGGTGCCAGATCTAATCCTGCAGGACTTCTCCGTCCTCTTCCCCCGGCTCTCAGCATCGTCACGGTGGACCCCTCCTTGTCCAGCACGCTGCCTCCCGCCTGCTGTGACCTCACTCTCTCCTGCTGTCCTGGGACCTCACGGGCCTCCTCCCGGGTCCCCTTCCCGCTCCTCCTCCTCTGTTTGGCCGTCTGGTGGTTAGAGCGCTCCCCAGGCCTCAGGAGGATGAGGAATAGATGAACCACCCCGGTCCCCTGGGCTCCCTTCATTCATTCATCCAGCGAGTGTTCCCAGGAGCTCACTGTGGATTGGGCTCCCCGTGGGACCTGCAGACACAGCAGGGAGCAGAGCCGCCCCCGCCTCCTGAGCTCACCTCGTGGTGGGAGACAAAATGCAAATAAATGCAGTGTCCAGGAGTGCAACGTGCTGTAAGAAACATAAACCAGGGAAAGGGCAGAGTGTGGGGCAGTGGGGCCAGTCTGAATGTAAGGGGAGGGCTGTCTGCTCAGCTGTCATCTGAGAAGCCTGGACGGAGGGGGCCACAGGATCCTCTAATGGACGAGCCCCTGCAGGCAGAAGAAACAGCCGTGCAAAGGCCCCGAGGCAGCAGCGAGCTCTTGCAGGAAGGCCGTGTGAGGCTGCAGCCAAATGGGCAAGGTCAGAGTGAGGAGGAGAGGCCAGAACCACAGGGAGGGAGCGGCCAGACCCTCCACGGCCTTCGGGCGTCCCTGAGATTCCATCAGGAAAGGGATGTAATCGGATCATCCTGGGAATAGTGGGGAAAACTGACTCCAGGGGGTGAGGGGGATTCAAGGACACCCCCCACCAGTGTCTCTCTCCAGCAGAGCCCACACGATGAAGACCCCCAGGCAGTGACGTATGCCCGGGTGAAACACTCCAGACCTAGGAGAGAAATGGCCTCCCCTCCCTCCCCACTGTCCGAGGAATTCCTGGACACAAAGGACACACAGGCGGAAGAGAACAGGCAGATGGACACTGAGGCTGGTCCTTTTCTCTCCAGGCCCCCAGCCCTCCCCCACCCCCACCATGTTCCTTCCCTCTCACTCTCCCCCACTGCAGGCTGCTGCATCTGAAGACCCCCAGGATGTGACCTACGCCCAGCTGCAGAGCTTGACCCTCAGACGGGAGGCAACTGAGCCTCCTCCATCCCAGGAAGGGGAACCTCCAGCTGAGCCCAGCGTCTACGCCACCCTGGCCATCCACTAGCCCGGAGGGGACCCAGACCCCACACTCAGCAGGAGACTTGGGACTGCTGAAGGCACGAGAGCTGCCCCCAGTGGACACCAGTGAACCCCAGTCAGCCTGGACCCCTAACACAGACCACGAGGAGACGCTGGGAACTTGTGGGACTCACCTGACTCAAAGATGACTAATATAGGCCGGGCGCGGTGGCTCACGCCTGTAATCCCAGCACTTTGGGAGGCCGAGGCGGGCGGATCACAAGGTCAGGAGATCGAGACCATCCTGGCTAACACGGTGAAACCCCGTCTCTTCTAAAAATACAAAAAAAATTAGCCGGGCACGGTGACGGGTGCCTCTAGTACAGCTACTCAGGAGGCTGAGGCGGGAGAATGGCGTGAACCTGGGAGGTGGAGCTTTCAGTGAGCCGAAATTGCGCCACTGCGCTCCAGCCTGGGGCACAGAGCGAGACTCCGTCTCAAAAAAAAAAAAAAAAAAATGACTAATATCGTCGCATTTTGGAAATAAAGCAACAGACTTCTCAATAATTAATGAGTTAATAAGAAAAAAAAAAAAACCGACGTAAAGGCCAGGTGTGGTACTCGGGAAGCTGAGTCGGGAGGATTCCTTGAACACAAGAGGTTCAGGCTGCTGAGGCTGCAGTGAGCTATGACTGTGCCACTGCACTCCAGCCTGTGTGACAGAGGGAGACCAAAAAAAAGAGTGAGTGAATGTTTTAAATTCAATGATAATGTCAATATTACACATCGAACTTACGAAATGGGAAAATTAAGAAGCATAGCCAGGTGCAGTGGCTCACGTCTGTAATCCCAATACTTTGGGAGGGTAAGTGGGGAGGATGGCTCGAGCTCGGGAGTTCGAGTCAGTCTGAACAGCATAGTGAGACCCTATCTCTACAAAAAATAAAACTAGTCCGGCATGGCGGCACACACCTGTAGTGCCAGCTACTTGAGAGGCTGAGGCGGGAGAATCACTTTGGGCACAGGAGGTCGAGGCTGCAGTGAGCCAAGATGGTACCTCAGCACTTCAGCCTGAGCAACAGTGAGACCCTGTCTCAAAAAAAATAAACCAAAACAATTAAAAGGCCAGTGAAATTACCTGTTGATTAGTGTTTGCATAATACATTTTTCATCCGTCTGCTTTTTTAATGTGATAAAATATAAACAACAGGCCGGGCGCGGTGGCTCACACCTGTAATCCCAGCACTTTGGGAGGCCGAGGCGGGTGGATCACAAGGTCAGTTCAAGACTAGTCTGGCCAAGATGGTGAAACCCCGTCCCTACTAAAAATACAAAAATTAGCCGGGTGTGGTGGCCGGCACCTGTAATCCCAGCTACTCAGGATGCTGAGGCAGAGAATTGCTTGAACCTGGGAGGCAGAGGCTGTAGTGAGCCAAGATCACACCACTGCACTCCAGCCTGGGCAACAAGAGCGAAACTCCATCTCAAAAAAAAAATCCAATCTTGTAATCTCTTTTAGATCACTTATATTTAATGTAATCACTGATGGCATTACAATCATGTGTCACTGAATGACAGGGATATGTTCTGAGAATCCATCATTAAAAAATTTTGGCTGGGCATGATGGCTCACTCCTGTAATCCCAGAACTTTGGGAGGCCAAGATGGGTGGATCACCAGAGGTCAGGAGGTCGAGACCAGCCTGCTCAACATGGTGAAACCCTGTCTCTACTAAAAATACAAAAATTAGCCAGGCATCGTGGTGCGCACCTGTAATCCCAGCTACTTGGGAAGCTGAGGCAGGAGAACCTGGGAGGCAGAGGTTGCAGTGAGCCAAAATCGTGCCATTTCACTCCAGCCTGGGAGACAGAGTGAGACTCCATCTCAAAAAAAAAAAAAAAAAAAAAAAAAAAAAAAATTCACTATTGTGTGAACATCATAGAGTGTACTTACAATTACACAAACTTACGTGGTATAACCTACTACATACATAGGCTGTACCATCACATACGCAATGTGTAGCGGATCGAAACATCGTTCTGCAGCACCTGACTGTGCTCAGGCTTGCCTTTTTGTCTCCTCTGTTTTTTGTTGTTTCCCCTTTGCTGCCTACTCTTGGTTTTTTAGAAATATTTTTAGTTTTGGCTGGGCGCGGTAGCTCAAGCCTGTAATCCCAGCACTTTGGGAGGCTGAGACGGGCGGATCATGAGGTCAGGAGATCGAGACCACCCTGGATAACCCAGTGAAACCCTGTCTCTACTAAAAAGTACAAAAAACTAGCTGGGCGAGGTGGCGGGTGCCTGTGGTCCCAGCTACACAGGAGGCTGAGGCAGGAGAATGGCGTAAACTCGGGAGGCGGAGCTTGCAGTGAGCTGAGATCCGGCCACTGCACTCCAGGCTGGGCTGAGTAAGACTCCGTTTCAAAAAAAAAAAAAAATATTTTTAGTTTTGATTTGTTAAAAACTTACGATTCCTGAACTTTTCTATTTAATATTTTTGGACCATGGTTGGCCACCAGGTTACTGAAAACATAGAAAGAAAATTACAGATAAAGGGGGACTACTGTATTAGAGTTTTTAAAAAATATATTTTAAAATTGTTTGTAGAGATGGGGTCTCACTATGTTGCCCAAACTGGCCTTGAACTCCTGGGTTCAAGAGCCTCCCATCTCCACCTCCCAAAGTGTTGGGATTACAGGCATGAGCCACTGTGCCCAGCTTAAGAGTTTTTAATTGACAAATAATAATTGTACATATTTATAGGGTACAGAATATTTGACTTTATCTACTAGTGTATGTGTGGTTTTTTTTCTTTTCTTTTTTTTTTTCTTGAGATGGAGTTTCACTCTTGTTGCCCAGGCAGGAGTGCAATGGTGCAATCTCGGCTCACTGCAGTCTCCACCTCCCAGGTTCAAGTGGTGCTCCTGCCTCAGCCTCCCGAGTAGCTGGGATTACAGGCACATGCCACCACACCTGGCTAATTTTTGTATTTTTAGTAGAGACAGGGTTTCACCATGCTGGCCAGGCTGGTCTCGAACTCCTGACCTCGTGATCTGCCCGCCTCCCAAAGCACTGGGATTATAGGCATGAGCCACCGCACCCGACCCAACAAATATATTTTTATTGAGATACAACACTATTTGGTGGCATTTAGTAAATTCACAATATGTTGTAAGCATCACCTCTATCTCATTCCAAAACATTTTTATCATACTGAGAAGGAAACCCAGTTTACATTCAGCAATCACTCCCACCTAATCCCATGCAACAATTAACCTACTTTCTGCCTCTATCGATTGGCTTTCTTTGAATACCTTTTTTTTTTTTTTGAGACAGGGTCTCACTCTGTCACCCAGGTTGGAGTACAGTGGCGTGATCTCTGCTCACTGTAACCTCTGCCTCCCAGGCTCAAGTGATCCTGCCACCTGAGCCTCCCAAGTAGCTGGGACCACAGGCACATGCCACCATGCCTGGCGAATTTTTTGTGTTTGGTAGAGGTGGTATTTCACCATGTTGCCCAGGCTGGTCTCGAACTCCTAAACTCAGGCAATCCACCTGCCCCGGCCTCCCAAAGTGCAGGATTACAGGCGTGAGCCACCACACCCAGCCTGGATATTTCTTATAAATGAAATAACGTCATATGCGACCTTTTTTTTCCTGACTGCTTTCATCTAATATATTATCAAGGTTCACCTGTGTAGCATGTGTGAGTATGTCATTCCTTTGTGTGGTTGAATAAGATTTTGTTGTAAGGATATACCACACGTTGTTTCTCTACTCATCAGCTGATAGACATTGCTACAAAAATAAGTCGTGGCTATGGTGGTGCATGTCTGTAGTCCCAGCCACTCGGGAGCCTGAGGCGGGAGGATCACTTGAGTCAGGATGTCAAGGCTGCAGTGAGCTAGGATAGAGCCACTGCACTCCAGCCTGGGCAACAAACCTTTTCTTTTCAGCAAAGAAAAAAGAGGCCAGGTGTGGTGACTCATGCCCATAATCCCAACGCTTTGGGAGGCCGAGGTGGGTGGATCACCTGAGGTCAGGAGTTCAAGACCAGCCTGGCCAACATGGTGAAACTCCATCTCTACTAAAAAATACAAAAATTAGCCGGACATGGTGGCGCGCATCTGTAATCCCAGCTACCAGGGAGGCTGAGGCAGGAGAATTGCTGGAACCTGGGAGGTGGAGGCTGCAGTGAGCTGAGATGGCACCACTGCACTCCAGCCTGGGTGACAGAGCAAGACTCCGTCTCAAAAAGAAAAAGAAAAAAGAGGCCAAGCATGGTGGCTCACGCCTGTAATCCTAACACTTTGGGAGGCCAAGGCAAGAGGATTAATTGAAGTCAGGAGTTCGAGAACAGCCTGGCCAACATGGTGAAACTGTCTCTACTAAAAATACAAAAATTAGTCAGGTGTGGTGGCACACACCTGTAATCCAGCTACTTGGGAGGCTGAGGCAGGACAATCACCTGAACCCAGGAGGTGGAGCTTCCAGTGAGCTGAGATCATGCCACTGCACTCCAGCATGGGAAACAGAGCAAGACCGTGTCTTGAAAAAAAAGAAAAGAAAAAAGAGAGAGTGCTACTCTAACAGGAAAGTTGGCCGGGCGCGGTGGCTCACGCCTGTAACCCCAGCACTTTGGGAGGCCGAGGCAGGCGAATCACGAGGTCAGGAGATCGAGACCATCCTGGCTAACACGGTGAAACCCTGTCTCTAGTAAAAATACAAAAATTAGCCGGGCATGGTGGCGGCGCCTGTAGTCCCAGCTACTCGGGAGGCTGAGGCAGGAGAATGGTGTGAACCCGGGAGGCGGAGCTTGCAGTGAGCCGAGATCGCGCCACGGCACTCCAGCCTGGGCGACAGAGCGAGACTCCGTCTCTAAAAAAAAAAAGAAAGTCAGGGAAGGCACCTGTTTGGGAAAACAAAACCCAGGCTTGAAGGAAGCTTGTGCTTCCCTCTGTGAACGAAACGGTCTTAGAAATACCTCCCCAGGCCTCCTTCTCCCATGTGGGCCGTCTGTCCTGTGGCGGCCCCACTGGCTCCTCCTATCAACCAACGCAGAGAGTGGAAAAGCTCTTCATGCTCCTCTGCTTCACACACAGTGAACAAATCCAAACCGCTCTGCTCCCATCTCACCTGGCTCCACCCATGTCCCCTGGTCCATCCCCACAGTCCAAGCTCAGCTGGAGACCAAGGATGCCCTGTCTGTGCACTGCGTCAGCTCCCTCCTGGCCTCCTACTCCCGGCTCCCATCCATCCCTCTCATCACTTCCGAGGCCTCTTCTGACA